GGTCTCGGGTGGAAATGCAAAAGAAACTGTCGAGACTTCTGTCGAGACGAGTTTCAAAATCATCTAGGGAAGACCAGTCGTCTGTTCTGGTGTAAATGCCCTGTGAACGGCAGTTTTGGTCGAATCGTCGATCCCCCTTGTTCCGAAGGAGAGTCCCTTATAATGGGTAAATGCTACAAGACATGTCCGGCTGGTATGCGGCCTAGCCTCATCCCAGGCAGATGCTCTACCGATTGCTCCCATAACACCAACGGTTTGGTAAAGACGTGCGGTCTCGGTTGTTCGCGATCGGCGTTCGAGTGCGGCACTGCAATAGGCGCCATGGTGGCTTTCGTGGGGGCTTCAGTACTTGGAGCCTCTGCTGAGCTCGCACCACCCCTGGCCTCTAGCATCTTGCTGGGCTTGTCGAAAATGATCGCCTTAGTAGCTGAGGTTATTCAAGGCCTCTCTAGTGAGATAAAGAACCTACTACGAGGTCGAGGGCTGAACGTGGGCCGCTTGGTCATGATGGGCGCTATGATGTTCACATACTTCACTGAGATGGATGCCAATCCTGACACGTTGTTGAAGGGCGCACTGCCGTACTCGGAGTCGATCCAGGGTATAATTAACCTGGCTAATCAACCGAGGTCAGAGCGTGTCAAGGCCGGTATTGAAAACCTGATGGGAGTTATTCAAGAGAAATTTAGTGCTGTGAGCGGCAGCATCGTGAACATCTTTGCGGCTTTCTCCCAACCTCAATGTACATAAAAGCACTGTGAGTGTCCATATACACTGTTCATGTGTTTATGTTCATGTTGTGACAAAACGGCTAGTGTTGGTCTTTCTAGTGTTCGATGGGAGCAATGCATGGGAAGCCATAAATTCAGTTCGATACGGTGTGCGCTGGCATATAGCTGTTAAGATACTTCAACCTATCACAAATCATTGTCCAGTAATATCCTCTGTGTATGAAAGATATGAATAACGCACACAGAATGTATAGAAATGAGGGATAGGATATTTATAACATAGACATTGTTAATATCTTAAACACCCATCAAGCTGTTCAATGTAGCGGTTTGGATGTAAACCCGAAGGTGGCAAGTCGCAGCATTACTATGGCGGATATTCTACTGTAAATCATTATCATCTCCCTATCAGCCCAACCACGTCTGAACTTTTGCAATTTACCCTCAGTTACGACCGCATGGTCTCGATCGCTCTTACGACAGTTACTAGTTCTCGCTCGCTATATCAATTTAGCATCAACCCCTTTCGACTACAGAATGCTGATTATTGAGCTATCGGTGAACTCGCAAGCAACACAATTTCCGTGAACCAGACGAGAAGAAACATACCAGGCGATTTACTTCATACTTTCAGCACGACAAAATCCAAAACGACAACACATAATGAGGAATAGCTCAGTAAAAGAACTTCAACATAGGCAGGGAATATAGATAGTAGTTCACAGGCGATAATGCCTTATGTCACGGGCAGGGGTAGGCAGTGCCGCTGCAGCCAGGGGAAGCCTCATAGCACAGCCCATTAGTAGGACTCTGCAGAAGACCGAAACAAACGGGAATGTCGAGCCAAGTCTTGCAGAAAGACTTCCACTGACTTGCGGAACAATCAGGGACGGAGTCACAAGCAGAGGAGCAGCTGTCGAACGACGTTATCGCGGCACCGCATGGGACGACCTCACTCGAGGCAGCCGAACCCAAGTTATGACATATATTGTCATCACCACAGTAGCTGAAAACGCAGTCGAGAGATGCGTCACAAAGAGCTTGGCAATAACCACCATCGACAGCTTGGAGTTTCTCAGCGATGATGAGGGCAGAGCCGCCGACGGTTTGACGAATAATTGAGGAGGTCAGAATGGCGAGAATCGCAACGGCAAGCATAATTCACAATTAAAACCTTTCAAGCCTACCATAAGCAAATAGTCGGCATCTCGAACACGTTAGATGCCGTGTAGTACGAAACTACAAGGACGAACATAAGAAATGAAACTGCCACATTGTCCCATCTGCACAAAGGCGAGCGATAGTGGAAGTCGTCTATCTACTCTGTGCGGATTGGATGTACTCTTCCGCTGTCAACTGGTGACCGAACGTGACGCTGGAGTAACGCTCACTTGTTTGGATATATCCATGCTGTCCTGTGCCGATCAAGTGCTTGGTTCACAGAGACTGGAAATCTATCTGCCCTCTCGACAGGGCGCGTACGCACACCGAGTCCATCCGCGGTGGAAGCTCCATACAGGAAATCCTTCCCGACGAGTTAGTCCGAAACTGATATGGCGGGCGCGCATGAGAATATCCAAAACTGCCACGCTCGGGACGCTTGGGATTTTCTCAAGCCAGGGATGAGTCATGGGCAGCCCAACTGCAGAGATAGGTCACATGTGAGCTAGAC